AAAAAAAATAACCTTATGGTATCAAGAGTAACAATGCTTGAGCAGTCTCATTGGAAACCCTGTTCATGTTTCTAGTTCTGGCAGGTCATCCAACAGGATACTGCTTTTAGAGAAGTCAGTGAGGGGCTTTAATAAACATCTGTTTGTGACAGGAAAGTTTGGTTCTATTCTTCTCCATGTAAGAAAATATTAGAAAAACAAACTGAAGCATTCTAAATATTATCCTTTTAACATTTACAAATAAGACATTTATTTTCTGATTCAATACAACAATTTGAAGTATTATGCATATCAAACATGTTAGTCAACAAAACTGGCCTCATAGAAAGAAAAAGGTAAAAAGAAAAGTGACAGTTCATGACAGGAAAAAAATAAGTTAATTATTTTGAGTCTCTAATTGGGGGAATGAAGCTCTCTCTACCTCTGAGCCAAGCAGGGGAATAAAATGAGCTTTTTATAGACAATATTCCAATTAACATCTAATTAGTTTATTCTGTAAGTTTAGTGGCCAACATCCTTAGTTTTGCTCCCAGTTAATGCTTTGCATCATATGAAAATAGAAGTCCAACTTGCATGTGGTACAATGCATTGGTTTCCAGCTCTTCAGGTAACTTTTTAAAAATGACCAGTGTTTCAGCCGAAGCAGAGGGGAAAAGACAAAAAGAGAAAAAAAAAAAAAAAAGAGAAAAACGAAAACGACCACTACCAACAAAAAGAGAGCAATACAGTCAAAGTCCAGCATCGCATTCCTGACCTGCCAAAATTAGATACACGTCAGTGGACACTCCACTTGGGACATTCCTTCCCAAGCTCCGATCCTCCAACACAGTGATCAGAGCAAGAAGAAACCCCCACTGTTGACTTAAGACAGTATGATCTGGTTTTGAATTTTTTATATAAAAGCATCTTAATTATTAATGATCAGTGGCATAAAAACTGCTGCAACTTCAGCTTTGTTTTCTACTACGGCATTAACAGGTATGTCAAAATTTCTACCTGGGTACTACTGTGTTACCAGAACCATGCTCTTGAACTATAAAGTTTTTCCATAAGTGGTAATGAACAGGTATTAAGTAATGAGGTATTAACAGAGTACGTACAATGTAATTAAAAAAAAAAAAAAGGGAGACATGGGATATTCATAAATTTTGCAGTATGGAAAACAGTTTTACACATTTTTTCCCCAAAAATAAGTCAGAATAAAATCCTATGATTCTCACAGCTTCCACAACTTAACGCAGTCAAGACTACATCAAAAAAAGCTGAGTAATTTACATCAAGTTACATTAGTTACTAGTTACATTAATTAGCCAGCTAATTCACAGCCCCCAGAAAGCATTTCCAACTGGAAGGCAACTTCCCAAACTGAGATGCTGCAAACATGCATTTTTCCAGACAGTCATCACCTACAAATGCATGAATATAATGATGACTTATTATATGTTCTAAAACCTTTATGAATTGATCTGCTCCAACAGATCAATTCATGAAAGCTTGCTATTTATTACACCAGTAAATGTTAATTTCCCAAAGTTACCCTAATTTTATAAGGGTAGTGACTATTACAGCATTTCCAAAAAATGACCCCAAATCTCTTTAGTTTGCAGCTACACTACTGACCTTTAATAAGTGAATATAATGACAGCTAATATCATATTTCTTGCCTGATATCCTTCTGCTTTCAAATTGCCCTAGTGGGCGGTTCAAGCTGAATGAAAGTTTCTTACCATTGCACTATTTCATGTAACTGTTAGAGAAGTTTTCTACACTTACTGTCCATCTTCACTCCATATTGCCATACATCTGTCCCCAACTTTCCAGGAGTGGCTGGGCAGAGCAGAAGCAGAACTGTCAGAACTGGCAAGAGCTTCTGAAGGTTGTGTTGAAAGGAGATCTTTGGTTAATTCTATGACTTCCTAAAAGAGACAAACGAAACACAAGGAGTAATATTTCAAACTGCTACAGTGTGGGTTTTTTTAACCCCAACTTTTCTGAAGTTGTTGTGCTAAATACATAGCTATGCAAAGTACACTAAGCTTTTTAATCATTCCACTAAATTAACTCACTGTTGATGCTGATAATAAGTTACATGCTGTTCACTGTATTGCAGTGAAGTTACTTTTACCCCCACAAAATTATTTCAAGTGGCTCATGCTTTCTATAGAAAGCCTTTATAGATGAATTTGTTTATGCCCAGGCACAGGGCCACAGACAGTCAGCGGAAGAGAGGAAATCAGTGATGCAGTTCAGCACACGCCTGCATGGGATGCTTTATTACTGGCCAGAAAGTACACACCAAGAAGTGGCAGAGCAAGTAGTAATCGGTGCTAAAGTGCTCAAGCACTCGACAAAAGGTGGGAGGACATCACACTTCCATTCCCTGTCCGGCCAGCTGCTTCCATCCCTTGCCATTTGGGACTAGCTGGCAATATTTATGTATTTCAAAATTATTTTTGAAGTTTACTCATTACTGCTTTGAAAATTACTCATTTACAGACAGGAGCACGCAAAAACCCTGCTGCAAAGTTTCTGTCAGTGTTATGTTTCTGTTTTCCAACATCAATGCCACTGATTTTGGCTACTGAAAAAATGCCAAAGATCTAAGAGCAAGCATCTAAAAGGATATTCAAACTTTCTGCATGAGGCAAGGGAAATGCAGTTCCAAAAGAAAAAAAAAAACCTTCAGAAGTTAAGAGTATGTCAGTATTAACTATCACTGGTGTCAGAACTACAGATCCAATTTTAAAGGAGAGCTACAGCCACCCCATGTTCAACTGTAGCTCAGCAGAGCCTGAACTTTCCCCACATCCTCACTTAGTTCAGTTAGGGCTTTTAAAGACAAAAGAAGCTCTGGAAAAGGCAGTGGTAATTCTTCATTCCCCAGGAACATTAAGGACCACAAGCAGTTCCTAGACAGCAAGCTAATACTAACTACACTTACATGCGTTTTTATTTTATAAACTATAGAAGTGAGGCAAGCGTCCTGACAGTTTTTCTCTTTCAGTAGTTACCACCTGAATCACAAAATACCCTCATAACAGGAGCTGTGCCCGTACTTGGTTCTAGAGGAGCTGCCAGGGGCAGGAATGGGAGCTACAGACTGGGATCTGTCTTCTGTAATGCTATATGTGACCAGAACAGACTTGGATAGCCAAGCTGCCTGGCTCGAGGGAGCTTCGCAAGATTTACAGAATTAGCCTAATTTTGTTTTCCATACGAAAACTCCAAACAATTCCTCAACACAAGATAGTAAAAATTTGCAAACCCAAGGGACATCACAATGTGAAAAAGGTGTCTATCCCAGCAGGTCAAATCCAGTATGACAGACAACAGCTACCTCTGCAAGGGAGTGCTTCAGTTACACAGACTGCCATCGTAACATGAAACTGTTGACATATTCTTGCCCCTTCATAAAAGGTTTATTACAGAACCCTATAGGAGTAGTTTCAGGCAAGTCTACCAGGAATTCTTTGAGTTTGATAAAGTCATGCAAACAGCAAGCTATACACAACAAATTTCTAGTAAAAAGCTTCATTTGATATTCTCATATCAGAATGCTAAGCATATTTATAAAGATAGAAACACTGATTTTATTTCAATTCACAAGGTAATGCTAAAGAAGTCTTTAAGAGAAGCCGAGTGGCTTAATGAAAGGAAATTTCTGAACAAGAGTTAGTCTGGCAAGAAAGCTCAATAGGGCAGACTGAGCTCCACGGTGTGACACTTGCCACGTCCCTGCGACACGAGACTTTCTGCCGCCACAGAGAACACCAGCCTCGGTTTGCCAAGGCTCTCTGCCTCACTAACTGGACCTTTCACACCCAGATAAAGCTCTGCATTCTGAAATGCAGTACCCAGGTAAAGATCACAGCCAAGATCAACCTGAGCTCACCCAAAAGTTAAGTTGGCCTACAAGTGTTTAGGTGGAACAAATGAAGCAAAGATAATAACTTGTTAAAATAAGCATTACACGAAATTTTTATCTTGTTACTCAGAATTAAGCCAAGCAGACTAAGTGCATCTCTAGTGCATCACTTATTTCTGATACCTCCTAAAAAAAAAAGTTTCAGTTACATATTAACGCTCTTTTTGAGTGGACAAAAACTATTTAATTGGGACACTAAATTAGTTTGCAAAACATTATCTATGTCATTTTCAAGACAGAATATGCAGAAGGCAAGGCTCCTGGGGACAAAAATGTAAACATCTTCCCTATTCTGTGCAAAAAACTTTTATAAAAATGAGTTTGCAAGTTTTTCTTTCACATCAGTGATCTCTGCGTATCAAAGCCAAGGTCGTGTTCATATCAGAAATATCATGCCATATGGGTTTTGCTGTGCCTCTTAAAAATATAAAAATACGTACATGCTTTTAACAGTGTACAATAAAGGACATTAAGATGATCTATAGGATGCCCTATGGGCACAAAGCCTTTATAATTTAAAAGGAATTCTAAAAATTACTGACTTGAAGCACTACTTGTATTTTGGTTGAAGTATCACTTTACTGCTGTTTATTCCATGCAGAATGGAAATGGTTACAAATGAATTTTGTACTGGGTGGTTTTATATATTTTTGATACCTAAATTAATTCACAATAGAAACACGGCAGTATTTTTTCAGTTATGTGCCAAATTATTACCATACTTTGGCTTACCTATATCATAATAGGTCTATTATATATGTAAGAATGCAACAGACCACATATCAGCTTATAATTAGCCTGGCCATCTTCCTGTCACTGAGCAATATCCTAAGCAGTTGATATGGGTTTTAGCTCTTGACAGTATTTAAAATCTGCAGATACCAGAAGAACAAATCTCAATCTCCTCTGACGCACAAAATTAAAAGAATCAAGATTTAGACATATGAGAAATACAGAATCACACTCCAAAGCTCATAGCATTTTAAATGCTATAACAAATAAACAGATTCTGGACTGAATGAACTTGAGAACTCAAAAATAAATTAAAAAGCATAACACTGGATTTCTGTATCTCTGATTTACTGCAGTTATGTCATGTCAGCCAAAGGTGAGCAGTTAAGGCTGAAACCAGCTGAAAGAGACTGTCCTAAGGTATGTTGAGAGGGAGCAAAAATAAAGGAAAAGAGAAGAGGGGAAGAGAGATAGAGAAACAGATCATCATTAGCAGATCTTTCATCCCTCTCTTCTGACTGGAAGATGAGAAACACGTTTGTTTCCAGCAACTTTTTTCTTTCTTGTCCTACTAACTTCCACACAGATTTTCATTTTTAGCAATGTTCTAAAGGAAAAACGCTAAGTCTAACAATTTTTCAAACGTTTGAAGCAGAAAAGCTCGCTTTGCATGACACCACATCTTCTGGAGAACCCTAGGACACAGATTAAAAAACAGCCTAAGCTTTGCTTCTCAGCGGCCAGGCCGCAACCCTATGAAATCACATGAAAGGAGAGCAATAGCGCGAGGAGGTGCCCGTTTTCCTCGCCGGGCGAGAGGAGGGCAGAGCAGCCCAGGGCCCCCGCCGCCGCGCACCCACCTGCAAGTCCTTCTTGAGCTTGAGCAGGTCCTCGTTCTCGGCGTTGCCGGACAGCGCGGCCTCCACCTGCTGCAGCTGAGCCTTGTAGCTCGCCAGCTGCTTGGCGAGGTCTTCCGACATCTGCGGGGGGGAAAGGGACCGTGAGCAGCGCGCCGCGCACGAACCGCCCCTGTCTTCCCCCAGGCCGGGCCGGGCCTGGCCAGGCCGCACCCCCCTCCCCCTGCCCAGGCCGGCGAACAAAGGGGCGGCGGGGCCGGGCGCTCACCGCGGCGGGC